AACTGTTTGGGCACAGACCTGGATAGTATGATAGAGCTCTGCAGGCTCTCTCTACAGTAGATTGCAACTCCACCCCCTTTGGCAGTTCTATCTAAATGGAAAATGTTGTAGTTGGGGATGGAATTTTCTGAATTATTGGTGGCCTTCCTAAGCCAGGATTCAGACACTGCTAGAACATCAGGGTTGGCGGAGTGTGCTAACGCAGTGAATAACTCAAACTTAGGGAGGAGGCTTCTGATGTTAACATGCAAAAAAACAATGCTTTTACGGTTACAGAAGTCAACAAATGATAGCTCCTTGGGAGTAGGAGTGATACTGGGGGCTGCAGGGCCTGGGTTAACCTCTACATCACCAGAGGAACAGAGGAGGAGTAGAATAAGGATACGGTTAAAGGCTTTAAGAACTGGTCTTCTAGTGCGTTGGGTACAGAGAATAAAGGGGGCAGATTTCCGGGCGTTGTAGAATAGATTCAGGGCATTATGTACAGACAAGGATATGGAAGGATATGAGTACAGTGGAGGTAAACCTAAGCGTTGGGTAACAATGAAAGAGATAGCATCACTGGAGGCACCGATTGAGCCGGTCTCCGCGTGTATGGGGAGTGGAACAAAGAAGCTATTTGAGGCAGTTTGAGAGGGACTTGGGGCACTACAGTGAAATTGTATAATAAGAACTAACTGGAACAGCAATAGGCAAGGCATATTGACATGGGAGAGAGGCATAAAGCAATTACAGGTGTTATTCGAGAGAGCTAAGACAACATTTACATTACATTTTAGTCATTTAGCAGATGCTCTTATCCAGAGCGACTTACATGAGCATTTAGGGTTAAGTGCCTTGCTTAAGGGCATATCGACAGATTTTTCACCTAGTCGGCTCGGGGATTAGAACCAGCGACCTTTCGGTTACTGGCACAACGCTCTTACCCACTAAGCTACCTGCCGCCCTAACTGGTAATGGCGATGAGAGTTTGGGCTGAGGGTAAACAGATAAACAGGACAGGGTACCGTGTAAAGGAACAGTCCAGCAGGCATCAGCTGTGCAGCTGAGTGATCATAGGTCCAGTGAACAGCAATTTGTGAGTCCGAGAGCAGTTCGAATTGGTGCTACAGCACAGGCTAGCAGGAAGCACGGCTGTTGTTTGCGTGTGCTAGCGGGCCGGGGCTAGCAGGTGGATCTTCGTGGTCGTCGCAATGGGAAGCCTGTTGAAACCACAGACGATTACGTTGGCAGACCAGTCGTGATGGATCGGCGGGGCTCCGTGTCGACTCTAGGAGGTCCCGTCCGGTTGACAGAGAGGTAGATAGCCGGGAGATGGGCCTGACTCGAGGCTAGCTCAAGGCTGATTAGCCAACAACAACATCCATTTGGTTGCAGCTCACTAGTTGCGATGATCCGGTGTTAAAGGTCCAGTGATTCAGTGATTCCGGCAGAAAAACCGATATGTTCTGGGTCGATAACATTGATTCTTTTTTATATGGAAAACACCTTTTTGTCACCCTAGAATACACGCATAAATCAAAATCAAATTTATCTATAAAGCCCTTTTTACATCAGCAGATGTCGCAAAGTGCTCCAGTCACACAGATAGATGGGGCTCCAAGGTAATGTTTCCCCTAGGTACAGATCTAGGATCAGCTTCTAGCAACACTTGCTCTATCTTAACCATTGGCAAAGAAACTGACCCAGGATCAGTGTCCAGGGGCAACCCCGCCCTACTCCGATAGGGCGGTAGTCTTTGCACACTGGTTTACAATTCCAATCAATATTTGAAATGGGATGTGTCCAATGGAAACTGATGGATGCATCAATTCCATCTGGCCCATACACTTTTATTGGCCTGCTGATATGAGAAAATAAAGTTAGAGCACCATTAATGTGTAAAATATAATTACTATAATTCTACTGTAATTCTATTTTTGTGGGTGTTGACTACCAGTCATGGTGTCAGTTCAGGTCAAACACAATAATTAGTCTTGGAAAGGTGAAACATTTGTTTAAGGATGATCGGTCCACTTTCAGAATGAGGCCACACCGAGACATATTAAATCATATTTTTATTTATTTAACCAGGTAAGCCAGTTGAGAACAAGTTCTCATTTACAACTGCGACCTGGCCAAGATAAAGCAAAGCAGTGCGATAAAAACAACAACACATATGCATTCATCATTGTCCGTGTTTCAACTCATCAAAAGTTCCGATTATTATTATTTTTTACATACATAAAAAGTGTCAGAAACTGACAATTTTAACTGCACCTAATTGTGTAAGAAGAGAACCACACGGCGTAAACATGACAAGAAGTTAATCAAAATCTTTATTCGTTACACTGTGTTACATTCAATATCCAATGAGTTTGTTTTCGACACGCATATAATAAGACCAATACAAACAAGCAGATTTTGTGCCTTACCTAACGGAGGAGGGACAGACGACTGAAATGTACTTCACGCCCTCATCTTCCAACTTCATACAAGTTGATACCTTCAACATTTACATAATAAATTAGTCGTTTACGAGGAACGAGATAAAAATCTAGTTCAGTTCATGTTGCACCACCGAGATTGTAGAATATTTGCAGAGCACAATGGCGGGCTAGAGTATCGAGTAATTTGAGAATTTAAATTCGTTGAGGCCGTTTGAATCAGCAATAGGTTGGACATTCCATATTCAAAAGAGTTGACACTAGTAAATTGACAGCAAAAGTCATGCCTGAAGTGACATTTTACTCGTCTGGTCGCAGATCTGGTTGTGCTGGAAAGCATAAACGCTTGAAGTTGCTAACACCCTAGGAGTTGGCTATACAGCACAAATAGATCTGGGACCAGACTAACATTTTACTACATAAAAAATAAATAGAAAAAAATCCTCTTAATTCTCAAAAACACAGGACTTGTCAATTGCCAATAAGCAAGTAACCTCAAATGACAGTAATATTATTCTGGAGAAATACAAATAACTCAACTGAGCCTTCAGCGTCCCCAGATACAGTAAGGTTTCAATAGTCTTTAGTACGATTCAGCTTTTCCTTAACAGTCAAGAAAATGGAAATCATTCCAAAATGAGACACAAAATCAGCGATCTATGGAACGAAAGTAGAGGAAATCTTAGTTCCAGAAACTCTAAATGGCTCGGGTGGATCACCACGGCAAATATCATGCAAAAAATATAGTTCCGCATTATTTTCCATATGATCAAAAACTGATTTATAACATCATCAGTGTTTAAGACAGATCCAGCAACATACACAAGGGGTGTGAACAGGACGTCAGTTGGTCAATTGCACCCATCCAACCCTTAATAGATCACTGCAAAAATGACTAAATAAAACTACTGCGTTTCAGCCCTTAATAGCCATGAGCTGTTATGTAGTGTGGAATAAAATCAAGCACAAATAAAGACACTAATTGGTGGAAAAAAGAAAAGTACAACCTCTGCCGCTACACACTAGTGATTTAATGCTCTGCGTTTGGTTTTAGGCTGGACATAAAACTACAATATTATGGACAAAACATGGCGGTATGTATCAGGTTCTCTAGTCTGTGATGTCACATCTGGAATGGGATGTTAAACACAGTGCTCATGACAAATCATTTTTTAAATGACCATAGATGATCACTTTTCCAACTGTGAATATCAAACAATCAAGTGCAACTCACCCCCTTAATATCACCAATGAAAATTTATTTTTTTTACAAATATTTTTAGCTTTTTTATTTGATATGGAAAGAAACAAACCAATAAGTGATAGCTTTCATTTTTAAATCCATACCAAAAAATGTGGTTTCCTGAAGTCTACTATCAGATCCAGTGCATGTGAAATGCCACAGGTTTAAAAGTGAATAATGCCTAAATCGAAGTCAGTTGGTTGGGAGTGCATTGAGTACATGGACCACGGTCGCATTCATTAGGGCACATCGTAGCAAAACACTGTACAACTGAAAACAAAAACAAGCGTTTCTTATTGGACTGATTGGAAGTCCTGGTAGTCCCTCCCTTTTTCATTCAGTTCGTTTAGTAAGCCTGTTTCGTAGCTTATGAACAACCCAGATGCCGATGAGTATAAAAAGGCTCAATCTACCTGAGATTTTAAGTTAAAGTATATTTACACACTCTCGCTAATTGGCACAAGTGTGGGACGAGAAAACCAAAATCACTACGTAAGTCAAAAATAACCATTGACTAAAGTGAGATTTGAGTTTTGTAAAATAAAAAAAAATGTAGTTGTTTAGATGAAAAGTACATTTTTCTGATGTTTTTACCACTCTTTTTTGCTCCAGACCAACATAACAAAACAAAAAACATGACGTTAGATATGGTAAAATGGACAGACCAATGCGTTTCATAGAAAAGCATACAGAAGAATTGGACTTGAAAAACCACAGTGAGATGGCTGTGGGAACTAGTAACAGCCATAGAGTGGAAGCCATTTTTAATTTTGCCACGTCACAAGTCTAAAGTCACTCGTTTTAGTATATTCCCTCTGCTGACAGCCTGAAGCCTCGCAGCCAGGTGAGGTGAGTGCCACAGCCACAACCACACCCCATCAAAGAGTCCTACAAGCTGCTGTGAGTTTAGCAGTGGAGGCTGCTGAGGGGAGGACGGCTCACAATAATGTCTGGAACAGAGCAAATGGAATGGATTCAAACACCTGGAAACCATGTGTTTGATGTATTTGATACCATTCCACACAGTTCCGCTCCAGCCATTACCACGAGCCTGTTCTCCCCAATTAAGGTGCCACCAGCCTCCTGTGGAGTCTAGATAGAAAAAACGAAGATGTTCAGGTGCCGTGGCTGCGGTGAGTCAGCATAGAAATAAAATAAATTGTTGACCTCAAGTCGAATTGCAACGTGGCCAAGTGCTGATAATATACATAACAAAAGTAAAGAGAGGAAAAATATTTGTTATAAATATAGAATATTTGTGACAGTCTCTCAGTCTCTCTCTGTGTGGGGGAGCGAGGTGAAAGGTCAAAGTTCACCGGGGGGTGGATTCAGGGGTTGAGGCTGCTCTCTTCGACCTCCTGGAAGAGGGCGGTGTAGAACTCAGGCTCCAACTGCTTGTTGCGGTACCGGTTCACCACCTCAGCGATCTTCTGTTTCCGACGCACGTGCGGCGGGTTGTACGAGTCACTCTCCAGCCGCTTTCGCCGGCACGCGTTGATCACCGTCTGTCTCACCAGGAACCCTGAGAGGAGAGAGAGGACCAATGGCTCAGCACTGATGTGGAGAGAGAAGTGGTGGAGCTAGGCCCGGTGACTCACACATTTGGCATGTGTGAAGAAAACACACACAGTGCTACTCGTCACGAGTCATCGTGATAGCTAACACACACACACACACACCTTTCACCCCTCCCCCCATACTCTCACCTAGTGACCTTCTGCTGACCACCATGCCGTCCACCAGGGGGACGACCATGCTGAACTTGCCCAGGGCCCCGTGCAGGCGGATCCGGAACAGGCCGGTCCTCAGAGGGTGGATGAAGATCACCTGCACGTCCTGACCTGACGATGTGGGCCTGAGAGGAGGAAAGAGGGTTGGACATGCGCACACAGAGAGAGACAGAGAGAGAGAGAGAGAGAGAGCGAGAGAGAGACAGAGAGAGGCAGATAGGAAGAGGAGGGAGAGCAGAAAGGTGGAAGTAGAACAGAGGAGATATGAGAGACTGTCTCCGCTGCAGAGGCACTATGAGTACCTCTTACCATCCTGCTTTATGAGGTCAGACACCATCTAGCTGGCCTTGTTCCTGTACTGTCTCTGGCCAGACACCATCCAGCTGGCCTGGCTTTGTTCCTGTACTGTCTCTGGCCAGCCACCATCCAGCTGGCCTGGCTTTGTTCCAGTACTGTCTCTGGCCAGACACCATCCAGCTGGCCTGGCTTTGTTCCTGTACTGTCTCTGGCCAGCCACCATCCAGCTGGCCTGGCTTTGTTCCTCTACTGTCTCTGGCCAGCCACCATCCAGCTGGCCTGGCTTTGTTCCAGTACTGTCTCTGGCCAGACACCATCCAGCTGGCCTGGCTTTGTTCCTGTACTGTCTCTGGCCAGCCACCATCCAGCTGGCTTGGCTTTGTTCCTGTACTGTCTCTGGACAGACACCATCCAGCTAGCCTGGCTTTGTTCCTGTACTGTCTCTGGCCAGACACCATCCAGCTGGCCTGGCTTTGTTCCTGTACTGTCTCTGGCCAGCCACCATCCAGCTGGCCTGGCTTTGTTCCAGTACTGTCTCTGGCCAGCCACCATCCAGCTGGCTTGGCTTTGTTCCTGTACTGTCTCTGGCCAGCCACCATCCAGCTGGCTTGGCTTTGTTCCTGTACCGTCTCTGGTTCAACCCTACATTGCATTGCCTTGCTCCTGTATCCTGTTCTACATGCTGCCCTGGCAAGACCTCGTCCCTGTCCTGTGTCTGGGTCCCCCGACCTACACTGCTTTGTCTCAGCTAAATGAACATTATGGATAATTATGAATGAATCGTGAATAATGATGTGTGGGAAGGTTAGAGGCATAAAAAAAATGTATGCTAACCTCCCCTGTTATTGGTAATGGTGAGAGGTTAGCATGTTTTGGGGGGTATGATCTCTTTGGGCACAACATAATCTGAAACACAACCAAAACAAACGGCAAATGCATCGAACAAGTTTGTAGAATCACAAGCTTGATGTAGTCATTGCATGCTAGGAATATGGGACCAAATACTTAACTTTTGACTACTTTATTACACATATAAGTGGATTTGTCCAAATACTTATGACACATGGGGGGACTACATACATAAAGTGCTTTCATTTCTAAAAGGTAAAACAGATATGTATGAAAATACCCTCGAATAAAAGGTGAGATTCTGTACTGTCGCTTTATAGAAAACATTTGATCTCAAATCCAAAATGCTGGAGTACAGAGCCAAATACATTTTTTTTGCTTCACTGTCCAAATAAATAAACTCTGAGTGTACATTAGCCTCGCGAGCCACACTGATCCTGCGGACTCACGTGAGCCATTTATATATGACTGGAGTAAAGGACAACTGTCTGGTCTTGGTGGTGGTCCGCTCTGAGCTTCTATCAGGTAAGTCAGAAGAGGATAGGGCTCCTATAGAGGTCTATTGAACTATTTTCTAGGAGTTTTTCCTTGTCATTGTCGCTGTGCTTGCTCTTTTGAGGGTTCAAGCACCCATTTATATTGAACCCTTAGGCCTAGTTTCCCAGACCCCTTGACTAAAATGCATGCTTAGAGGAGAATCTCCATTTAAAGTTTTATTATTTATTAGTATTGATAGATAGGGAGTGATGTGGGACAGGCTGTCAGTGATCAGTAGTGATAGATGGAGAGTGATTAGGGACAGGCTGTCAGTGCTGAGTAGTGATGGATATAGAGTGATTTGGGACAGGCTGTCAGTGATCAGTAGTGATGGATATGGAGTGATTTGGGACAGGCTGTCAGTGCTGAGTAGTGATGGATATGGAGTGATTTGGGACAGGCTGTCAGTGCTGAGTAGTGATGGATATGGAGTGATTTGGGACAGGCTGTCAGTGCTGAGTAGTGATGGATATGGAGTGATTTGGGACAGGCTGTCAGTGCTGAGTAGTGATGGATATGGAGTGATTTGGGACAGGCTGTCAGTGCTGAGTAGTGATGGATATGGAGTGATTTGGGACAGGCTGTCAGTGCTGAGTAGTGATGGATATGGAGTGATTTGGGACAGGCTGTCAGTGCTGAGTAGTGATGGATATGGAGTGATTTGGGACAGGCTGTCAGTGCTGAGTAGTGATGGATATGGAGTGATTTGGGACAGGCTGTCAGTGCTGAGTAGTGATGGATATGGAGTGATTTGGGACAGGCTGTCAGTGCTGAGTAGTGATGGAAATGGAGTGATTTGGGACAGGCTGTCAGTGCTGAGTAGTGAGAGTAGTGATGGATATGGAGTGATTTGGGACAGGCTGTCAGTGCTGAGTAGTGATGGATGGGAGCCTGCAGTGCAGTAACCTTGTGGAGGTGCTACTGTTGGCTGTGGTCTCCACTCCAGTGCTCGTCTCTACCAGCAGGTCGGCCAGGGGAAAGTTATCTACAACACAGGAATTCGACATACACTGCTCAAAAAAATTAAGGGAACACTAAAATAACACATCCTAGATCTGAATGAATGAAATAATCTTATTAAATACTTTTTTCTTTACATAGTTGAATGTGCTGACAACAAAATCACACAAAAATTATCAATGGAAATCAAATGTATCAACCCATGGAGATCTGGATTTGGAGTCACCCTCAAAATTAAAGTGGAAAACCACACTACAGGCTGATCCAACTTTGATGTAATGTCCTTAAAACAAGTCAAAATGAGACTCAGTAGTGTGTGTGGCCTCCACGTGCCTGTATGACCTCCCTACGACGCCTGGGCATGCTCCTGATGAGGTGGCGGATGGTCTCCTGAGGGATCTCCTCCCAGACCTGGACTAAAGCATCCGCCAACTCCTGGACAGTCTGTGGTGCAACGTGGCGTTGGTGGATGGAGCGAGACATGATGTCCCAGATGTGCTCAATTGGATTCAGGTCTGGGGAACGGGCGGGCCAGTCCATAGCATCAATGCCTTCCTCTTGCAGGAACTGCTGACACACTCCAGCCACATGAGGTCTAGCATTGTCTTGCATTAGGAGGAACCCAGGGCCAACCGCACCAGCATATGGTCTCACAAGGGGTCTGAGGATCTCATCTCGTTACCTAATGGCAGTCAGGCTACCTCTGGCGAGCACATGGTGCGGCCCCCCAAAGAAATGCCACCCCACACCATGACTGACCCACCGCCAAACCGGTCATGCTGGAGGATGTTGCAGGCAGCAGAACGTTCTCCACGGCGTCTCCAGACTGTCACGTCTGTCACATGTGCTCAGTGTGAACTTGCTTTCATCTGTGAAGAGCACAGGGCGCCAGTGGCGAATTTGCCAATCTTGGTGTTCTCTGGCAAATGCCAAACGTCCTGCACGGTGTTGGGCTGTAAGCACAACCCCCACATGTGGACGTCGGGCCCTCATACCACCCTCATGGAGTCTGTTTCTGACCATTTGAGCAGACACATGCACATTTGTGGCCTGCTGGAGGTCATTTTGCAGGGCTCTGGCAGTGCTCCTCCTGCTCCTCCTTGCACAAAGGCGGAGGTAGCAGTCCTGCTGCTGGGTTGTTGCCCTCCTACGGCCTCCTCCACATCTCCTGATGTACTGGCCTGTCTCCTGGTAGCGCCTCCATGCTCTGGACACTACGCTGACAGACACAGCAAACCTTCTTGCCACAGCTCGCATTGATGTGCCATCCTGGATGAGCTGCACTACCTGAGCCACTTGTGTGGGTTGTAGACTCCGTCTCATGCTACCACTAGAGTGAAAGCACCGCCAGCATTCAAAAGTGACCAAAACATCAGCCAGGAAGCATAGGAACTGAGAAGTGGTCTGTGGTCACCACCTGCAAAACCAGTCCTTTATTGGGGGTGTCTTGCTAATTGCCTATAATTTCCACCTGTTGTCTATTCCATTTGCACAACAGCATGTGAAATTTATTGTCAATCAGTGTTGCTTCCTAAGTGGACAGTTTGATTTCACAGAAGTGTGATTGACTTGGAGTTACATTGTGTTGTTTAAGTGTTGCCTTTATTTTTTTGAGCAGTGTACATCGCAGTTCAAACTTTTAGGTGCACACAATCTATCAAGGTGCACTGAAGTCAGTCATTTCAGAAATATGAAGACATGCCTCTAAAAATACAGGATAACAAACATTTAACTACTCGTTAACAGTTGCATCTGATAGTAAAATGTCTGTAAGGAATGAATGAGACATTCTACAGATCTGATACGTTGTTTCTACCAATAGTACAAATATTTCATGACTAGATAAGAGTGTAGTTCCGCTAGACTTAAATAACCAAAATGGCAGCCAAAAGAGGCCAGTTTCAGCGTGAAGCAGCAGGAAGTTAGCCTACCAATATCGTCGTAGCGCTCCACCCAGACTACCAGTACTTTGGTCTCGGGCCCCATTGGAGGGATAGTCCTGCCAGATGGCATCTTCTTAGACTTCACTGTGGGACTCTAAAGGACAGACAATAGTGGAAATCATGTGAACAAGCTAGAACAAAGAAAAAACTTTCAACTGACTACAGGATAAATGACTCCATAATCCAGCTTTAAGGCCTCAACACAGTTGTATTTTAACCTTTGCGTAGCGATCACCGTTCGCTAAACACAGCTAAGTAAGTCTTGAGTCAGTGAAAACCAGAAGTGCTTTGGCCCTCCAGACATGAATTGAACATCCCTGGGGTAGGGTTTGGGTTTAGGTGGGATGTGGGCATTGATAAGGTCAATCGGTCTGAGGAAAATAATACTAGCATACTTCAGGAGCACTTCACCACTTTTTAACCTACATATATGTTCACATATAGACACTGGTATAGTGCTGGAGAGAATGCTAATAATGTTAAAGTGTTACAATAGTCTGCGGTGTGTCTTACCCTCTGCGCAGGGGCCACATTGTCTGAGTGGTTGGGGAAGAGGTCCAGTGTGAGGTTGGACTGTTTCAGCAGGCTGGGCAGCAGGTCCATCTGAGAGTCTGGGTCTCCCGTGGGGAAACTGTTCTCTGACCACTCTGCTACAGAAACAACAACACAAAGACAAGTGGGAACCCAGTCTGCATCCTAAACGGCCCCCACTCCAGGCCACTCTTCAACATCTACAACTAGTTAGAAAGTATGTAAAAATTATAATGGATATAAACGTTTTCAAATAACTGCCCTTTTTCTGGCCTGCAAATTGCTTTTGACAAACAAATCGGTCCGAAAAGAAATATGTGCACCCTTGCCCTATATAATGCAGGTTCCATAGCGTTTCTTATTAGACAGGATCAGGTAGTCCCTCCATGTATTAGTATGTTCTTTTTGTTTTGTGCCTAATGAATACCCCCCTGCTTAATGGCTACCTAATGAATACCCCCCTGCTTAATGGCTACCTAATGAAGACCACCCTGCTTAATGGCTCTCTAATAGAATTACAATGCTCTAGAAAATAAAGAAGATTTGTAGAACAAATTAGGGGAAATCCATAAAGACACACAGTGGGGATTTCCTTCCTCTACAGACGACTTGAAACGGAGAACAGCGGCTTTGGGATCGATGGCAAACACAGAAAAAGAGCTGAGGAGAGAAAATAAGAAGTGAAGACTTGAAAGAGAGATGAGGAACGTAGAGAAAATAAGACCGGAGGATGGGAGAGAGGGATGAGGAGTGGGAGAAAAGTAAGAAGAAGTGAAGATGGGAGAGAGGGATGAGGCCCACCGGAGGACTCTGTGAGCGAGGGAACGACGAAGGCGATTTCGGTCAAGGCGTCTGCATAGTACAGCACCCCCTTCTCTCCGTTGAACACGCCCCCGCCCGTGTCTCCCAGGGTGACCACGTCATCTGTGGGGACAGAGAATAACTTCCTTACTGCTGTAAAAAAACAAAACAAGATTCAGGTCGGTACGATAATGTGAAAAAAGTACAGAAGCCCTTGGGGATGGGGTCTCCCTCCCTCCCACCTGGTGGGCTACTGTCTCTGTTATTGTTGCTGTTGTTGTTGTTGATGGACCAGCTGGTGTAGACACTGCCCGTCCAGCCCGGGTGCTGCCCCACCTCCACGGGCCAGCCCAGCGACAGCAGGAACTCCAGGAAGTGGTGCTGCACGTTGGAGCTAGACTCCACGTTCCTCAGGATCTGGTATGGGACAGAGTGGTGGAGACACACAGATCACTGAGGAGATGTGAAAATAGAAATCAATGGTCAAGCCATGTCTGTAAATTATTTTACATCGTCCAAAACTATTTTTAACTGTTAAAGAAAAGCGTATTCTTCTCTGAGACAGAAATTATTTTTCACAACCAACTCAGCAAACAAATTAGCATTTCCCTCATCTTGACATATTCATATGTCTACACACTTGGCAAAACCAACAGATAATATTCTCCAGTCCATATCAGGTATTTTATCAGGGACCATTTTGCTTCAGACTCTGTAATTTTAGTGCTAAATTCAGATAGTAACTTCCTGTTTCAATGTTGATGCCCTCCCCTTTAACCCAGTTGATGGCCTCCCATTTAACCCAGTTGATGGCCTCCCCTTTAACGTGTTGATTTCCTCTCCTTTAACCGTGTTGATTCCCTCTCCTTTAACCGTGTTGATGCCCACCCCTTTAACCGTGTTGATGCCCGCCCCCCCACTTTAACCCAGTTGATGCCCCCCCTTTAACCCAGTTGATGCCCCCCCCCACTTTAACCCAGTTGATGCCCCCCCCCACTTTAAACCCAGTTGATGCCCTCCCCTTAAACCCAGTTGATGCCCCCCCCCCCCTTAACCCAGTTGATGCCCCCCCCCCCCCCCTTTAAACCCAGTTGATGCCCTCCCCTTTAACCCAGTTGATGCCCCCCCCTTTAACCCAGTTGATGCCCTCCCCTTTAACCCAGTTGATGCCCCCCCCTTTAACCCAGTTGATGCCCTCCCCTTTAACCCAGTTGATGCCCTCCCCTTTAACCCAGTTGATGCCCTCCCCTTTAACCAGTTGATGCCCTCCCCTTTAACCCAGTTGATGCCCTCTCCTTTAACCCAGTTGATGCCCTCCCCTTTAACCCTGTTGATGCCCTCCCCTTTAACCCTGTTAACCCTTCACCTCCTGGCTGCTCTTCTGGCCAGCCTTCATGTAGAAGAGGAAGACTGTGTCACAGGGCCGACAGGGCAGCAGGTCCAGGTAGCTCATGTCATCAAAGAAGCCCGGCAACCCAGAGTCCAGTGCAATCAGGTGGGGAGGTAGGCGACTGTTGCCGGGCTCCTGGAGGGCAGGAAACAAAGTTAAATGTGATTGGCTGGTTTAATCTGCCAATTTAAGGGCCAGTTTAACTGCTGTATTAGTTTGACTATATTTTGCTACCATGTGATAACCCATGTCATCAAATACAGGGTTTTAACTGAATACATCTTGCCATGGGTTGATTGCATGCTTTCCTGTTGAAACTTTCAACATGCTTCTTTCCTTCCTTGAAGTAGTCACTGATCTAACAGGATTGGACAGGTGAAAGCAAGGGGTTCCACTACATGCATGTCAAGGACCTTGTCTGTTTCAATCCCTTCAAAACAGACCCATTCTTTCCTCTTCTTCTCTCCTCTCCCTCACCTTGTTCCCCTTCACTCCTCCCTCTCCTCCTCTCTCACCTTGTTCCCCTCCACTCCTCCTCTCTCCCCTCCCTCACCTTGTTCCCCTCTCCTCCTCCTCTCTCCCCTCCCTCACCTTGTTCCCCGCCACTCCTCCTCTCTCCCCTCCCTCACCTTGTTCCCCTCTCCTCCTCCTCTCTCCCCCTCCCTCACCTTATTCCCCTCCACTCCTCCTCTCTCCCCTCCCTCATCTTGTTCCCCTCTCCTCCTTCTCTCTCCCCTCCCTCACCTTGTTGCCCTCCACTCCTCCTCTCTCCCCTCCCTCACCTCGTTCCCCTCCACTCCTCCTCTCTCAACTTGTTCCCCTCTCCTCCTCCTCTCTCCCCTCCCTCACCTTGTTCCCCTCTCCTCCTCCTCTTCCCTCCCTCACCTTGTTCCCCTCCACTCCTCCTCTCTCCCCTCCCTCACCTTGTTCCCCTCTCCTCCTCCTCTCTCCCCTCCCTCACCTTGTTCCCCCCGCCACTCCTCCTCTCTCCCCTCCCTCACCTTGTTCCCCTCTCCTCCTCCTCTCTCCCCTCCCTCACCTTATTCCCCTCCACTCCTCCTCTCTCCCCTCCCTCATCTTGTTCCCCTCTCCTCCTTCTCTCTCCCCTCCCTCACCTTGTTGCCCTCCACTCCTCCTCTCTCCCCTCCCTCACCTCGTTCCCCTCCCCTCCTCCTCTCTCACCTTGTTCCCCTCCCCTCCTCCTCTCTCCCCTCCCTCACCTTGTGCCCCTCTCCTCCTCCTCTTCCCCTCCCTCACCTTGTTCCCCTCCACTCCTCCCCCTCACCTTGTTCCCCTCCACTCCTCCTCTCTCCCCTCCCTCACCTTGTTCCCCTCTCCTCCTCCTCTCTCCCCTCCACTCCTCCTCTCTCCCCTCCCTCACCTTGTTCCCCTCTCCTCCTCCTCTCTCCCCTCCCTCACCTTGTTCCCCTCTCCTCCTCCTCTTCCCTCCCTCACCTTGTTCCCCCTCCACTCCTCCTCTCTCTTCTCCCTCACCTTGCTTCCCCTCTCCTCCTCCTCTCTCCCCTCCCTCACCTTGTTCCCCTCCACTCCTCCTCTCTCCCCTCCCTCACCTTGTTCCCCGCCACTCCTCCTCTCTCCCCTCCCTCACCTTGTTCCCCTCTCCTCCTCCTCTCTCCCCTCCCTCACCTTGTTCCCCTCCACTCCTCCTCTCTCCCCCTCCCTCATCTTGTTTCCCCTCTCCTCCTCCTCTCCTCCCCCCTCCCTCACCTTGTTGCCCTCCACTCCTCCTCTCTCCCCCTCCCTCACCCTCGTTCCCCTCCACTCCCTCCTCTCCTCACCTTGTTCCCCTCTCCTCCTCCTCTTCCCTCCCTCACCTTGTTCCCCTCTCCTCCTCCTCTTCCCTACCTCACCTTGTTCCCCTCTCCTCCTCCTCTTCCCTCCCTCACCTTGTTCCCCTCCACTCCTCCTCTCTCCTCTCCCTCACCTTGTTCCCCTCCACTCCTCCTCTCTCCCCTCCCTCACCTTGTTCCCCTCTCCTCCTCCTCTCTCCCCTCACTCACCTTGTTCCCCTCCACTCCTCCTCCTCTCTCCCCTCCCGCACCTTGTTCCCCTCTCCTCCTCCTCTCCTCCCCTCCCTCACCTTGTTCCCCCTCTCCTCCTCCTCTCTCCCCCTCCCTCACCTTGTTCCCCTCTCCTCCTCCTCTCTCCCTCTCCCCTCCCACCTTGTTCCCCTCTCCTCCTCCTCTCTCCCCTCCCTCACCTTTGTTTCCCCCTCCTCCTCCTCTCTCTCCTCCCCTCCCTCACCTTGTTCCCCTCTCCTCTCCTCTCTCCCCTCACTCACCTTGTTTCCCCTCTCCTCCTCTCTCCCTCCCTCCGCCTTTGTTCCCCTCTCCTCCTCCTCTCTCATCCTCCCTCACCCTTTGTTTCCCCTCCCACTCCTCTTCCTCTCCCCTCCCTCACCTTGTTTCCCCTCCACTCCTCCTCTCTCCCCTCCCTCACCTTGTTCCCCTCTCCTCCTCCTCTCTCCCCTCCCTCGCCTTGTTCCCCTCTCTTCCTCCTCTCTCCTCCCCTCCCTCCCTTGTTCTCCCTCTCCTCCTCCCTCCTCCTCTCCCCTCCCTCATCTTGTTCCCCTCTCCTCCTCCTCTCTCCCCTCCCTCACCTTGTTCCCCTCTCCTCCTCCTCTCTTCCCTCCCTCACCTTGTTCCCCTCCACCTCCTCCTCTCTCCCCTCCCTCACCTTGTTCCCCTCCACTCCTCCTCCTCTCCCCTCCCTCAACTTGTTCCCTCCTCCTCCTCCTCTCCCCTCCCTCACCTTGTTCCCCTCTCCTCCTCCTCTCTCCCCTCCCTCGCCTTGTTCCCCTCCACTCCTACCTCTCCCCTCCCTTGGTTTCCTCCACTCCTCCCTCTCCTTTCCTACCCCTCATCTTCCCCCCGTACCTTGAGTGCCTCCAGTGACAGGAAACCAAAGTGCGACAGGAAAAGGCGGGCGGTCTGGAACTCTTCTGAGGGCGGTGGGGGCTTGCAGTCTGTCAGCGGGTCTGGGAAGCTCTTGCTGCAACCAGCGCTCCTCGCTGCCATGCTCCAGTGTTGTTTCATACTCAATCTGCTTGGCCATCACACCCCACAGCTTGGTGTGCTGCATCTCCAGCTGAGGGGGAGAGAGAGAGGGCAGAGAGAGAGAGAGAGAGAGAGAGAGAGAGGGGCAGAGAGAGAGAGAGGGGGCAGAGAGAGAGAGAGGGGGCAGAGAGAGAGAGAGGGGCAGAGAGAGAGAGAGGGGCAGAAGAGAGAGAGAGAGAGGGCAGAGAGAGAGAGAGAGAGAGAGAGAGAGGTGGGGCAGAGAGAGAGAGAGAGAGAGGGGGGGGGCAGAGAGAGAGAGGGGGGGGCAGAGAGAGAGGGGGCAGAGAGAGAGAGGGGGCAGAGAGAGAGAGGGGGCAGAGAGAGAGGGAGGGGGGCAGAGAGAGAGAGAGTGAGGGGGGCAGAGAGAGAGCGCGAGAGAGAGAGAGAGAGAGAGAGAGGGGGGCAGAGAGAGGGGGCAGAGAGAGAGAGAGGGGGGCAGAGAGAGAGAGAGGGGGGCAGAGAGAGAGAGGGCGAGAGAGAGAGAGGGTGTAGGATGATGATGTTGCCCCTTGACATTGGAAAAGGTCAGTTTTGTTTATTAGTTTCTTCTCAAAATGGTGATTAGGAGAGGGTAAGCACTGATCCTATATCTGTGTCAAAGGGCATATTATCTGCCTGGAGTGGGAACCTGTGGCGTAGTTCATTCTGAACACCATCTTATTATAAAATAGTAGTAGTCATTGTTGAAGGCCAGACCATATAAGAAGACTGCTCCCAAGATCATTCCCAGGACAATTTGTTTAAAAAAAAAAAAGGTATTTGAGTTGTGCTGGCGAGTCCCATTGCATACATACATCCACCCAATCGCACAAAACCACACCCATAAACACACACCCAATCCCCTCATCAAAAAACCTCAAAACACCACCACCAAAACACCCACACACGACATGAACAAACCTTCACAAAGCCTTCAAACTCTCACAAAACCAATACAACCCAATCCCTAGCTCCCAAACATGACCAACTCTTTCACATCAAAACCTTTCTTTCCCAGCATTAAATATAGATATTGGTGAAACATGTCCTGTTTGTGTGTGAGGACAACTCACTCACAGCCTGTCAGTTGAGAAACATTGCATTCCACAAATCATTTTCAGATAGACAAAGATTCATTGAAGTGGACAAGTTCACAGAGAATGACAAAATCTGAAGTTAGCCTACATTTAAAATCTAAAGTTAGTCTAGATTTAAAATCTAAAGTTAGCCTAGATTTAAAATCTAAAGTTAGCCTAGATTTAAAATCTAAAGTTAGCCTAGATTTAAAATCTAAAGTTAGCCTAGATTTAAAATCTAAAGTTAGCCTAGATTTAAAATCTAAAGTTAGCCTAGATTTAAAATCTAAAGTTAGCCTAGATTTAAAATCTAAAGTTAGCCTAGATTTAAAATCTAAAGTTAGCCTACATTTAAAATCTAAAGTTAGCCTACATTTAAAATCTAAAGTTAGCCTACATTTAAAATCTAAAGTTAGCCTACATTTAAAATCTAAAGTTAGCCTACATTTAAAATCTAAAGTTAGCCTACATTTAAAATCTAAAGTTAGCCTAGATTTTGTTTGTTGTGCTTGTTGTACAAAGTGTCCCATCTGGGGCCATATTCATTAAGCTGACCTTGAATCCGTTTTTTAATTAATAAATAACAGTGGGACCTGATCCCAGATAAGCACTCCTATTTTGAGGCGCTTTGTAAATACAGGCCCTGGCTGATGAGAACACTACCTCTACTCTGCAATACAATCCTCATTAGGGCAATGGAGACATAATGATTCTAATATGGACAGACAACCGATGCTAGCCTACCTCCTTATCTATGATATCGTGCAGGTCCGGAATGCTCAGGTCCGCTTTCACAAATGGAATTTTGTCCACTTCTTCAGGGAAGGGTCTGTGTTTGACGTTGAACCGGATCCCCACGTCATTTTTGGGAGTGGGCCGGCTCTCTGGGACAAACACCTGCTACAGAGAGAACAGAGAAAGAGATGAAAAAGAGAGAGAGTGAGATGGAGAAAAGGAGATGGAGAGAGAGAAAGACAGAGGGTGACAGATGGAGAGAGAGGGAGGAGGGAGGGAGAGAAAGACAGAGGGTGACAGATGGAGAGAGAGGGAGGAGGGAGGGAGAGAAAGACAGAGGGTGACAGATGGAGAGAGAGGGAGGAGGGAGGGAGAGAAAGAGAGAGAGGGACTTCTTATGAGACACAGACCCCTGAGAAAGAAGCTGGGAAGACTCCACAAAAAACATGAGCTGACACGATCATTTAGCAATGCTAAAGGTCTACGATGATGGGAAGACTCAACATGAAACCCGAACTGACATTTGATAATTTAGCATTGTTAAAGGTCTACGATGATGGGAAGACTCAACATGAAACCCGAACTGACATATGATAATTTAGCATTGTTAAAGGTCTACGATGATGGGAAGACTCAACATGAAACCCGAACTGACATATGATAATTTAGCATTGTTAAAGGTCTACGATGATGGGAAGACTCAACATGAAACCCGAACTGACATATGATAATTTAGCATTGTTAAAGGTCTACGATGATGGGAAGACTCAACATGAAACCCGAACTGACATATGATAATTTAGCATTGTTAAAGGTCTACGATGATGGGAAGACTCAACATGAAACCCGAACTGACATATGATAATTTAGCATTGTTAAAGGTCTACGATGATGGGAAGACTCAACATGAAACCCGAACTGACATATGATAATTTAGCATTGTTAAAGGTCTACGATGATGGGAAGACTCAACATGAAACCCGAACTGACATATGATAATTTAGCATTGTTAAAGGTCTACGATGATGTGAAGACTCAACATGAAACCCGAACTGATATGATAATTTAGCATTGTTAAAGGTCTACGATGATGTGAAGACTCAACATGAAACCCGAACTGACATATGATAATTTAGCATTGTTAAAGGTCTACGATGATGTGAAGATTCAACATGAAACCCGAACTGACATATGATAATTTAGCATTGTTAAAGGTCTACGATGATGGGAAGACTCAACATGAAACCCGAACTGACATATGATAATTTAGCATTGTTAAAGGTCTACGATGATGGGAAGACTCAACATGAAACCCGAACTGACATATGATAATTTAGCATTGTTAAAGGTCTACGATGATGTGAAGACTCAACATGAAACCCGAACTGACATATGATAATTTAGCATTGTTAAAGGTCTACGATGATGTGAAGACTCAACATGAAACCCGAACTGACATATGATAATTTAGCATTGTTAAAGGTCTACGATGATGGGAAGACTCAACATGAAACCCGAACTGACATATGATAATTTAGCATTGTTTAAGGTCTACGATGATGGGAAGACTCAACATGAAACCCCAACTGACATATGATAATTTAGCATTGTTAAAGGTCTACGATGATGGGAAGACTCAACATGAAACCCGAACTGACATATGATAATTTAGCATTGTTAAAGGTCTACGATGAATATCAATGCCCTGACGCAGACATGTTTTCACCAAACAAGTCTGGGACCAACATCATGAATCATTGTTCATTTTGAATGAGAATATTGCATTACTTGACATTACTAGTGTCTCATTAAAGCCATGTGAAAAAACCTGGTTTTTAACAATGGAGTTGCTAGTTAAGTTAGATGTCACAATGTAAACCTGGACACTAATAGAAAGATATCACCGTAATGAATCTAAAGGGCTACCTTGTGGCTGGCGCGGGCCTCCCTGGGCTGATGGAAGAGCTGCATGGTCCAGGCGTGTCTCCCAGACATCCCCCTGATCAACATGGTCACGGACGGACAGGAATCTGCTGAGACACACACACACAGGGAAACCAGGTCAAAAGGGTATTTCTCATTAGGCACTAAACGGAAGAAGACAGACTGAAACACGGGAGAGCGGACTTTGTTTAATGTTGCTAAAAGTTTAGAAAAAAGTTCCGTTGCTCTAATGAAAACGACCCAGGACTATTCTTATCAGCTATCAATCTGGTATCAGTGAACATGTTGAGGACTGATAACGTGAGAGAATAACTGATACCATGTGGAGGATAACTGATAACATGTGGAGGATAACCGAAACATGTTGAGGACTGATAACGTGAGAGAATAACTGATACCATGTGAAGGATAACTGATAACGTATGGAGGATAACTGATAACATGTGGAGGATAACCGATAACATGTGGAGGATAACTGATGGAGGATAACCGATAACGTGGAGGATAACTGATAACGTGGAGGATAACTGATAACGTGAAGGATAACTGATAACGTGGAGGATAACTGATAACGTGAAGGATAACTGATAACGTGGAGGATAACTGATAACGTGGAGGATAACTGATAACATGTGGAGGATAACTGATGGAGGATAACCGATAACGTGGAGGATAACTGATAACGTGGAGGATAACTGATAACATGTGGAGGATAACCGATAACATGTGGAGGATAACTGATGGAGGATAACCGATAACGTGGAGGATAACTGATAACGTGGAGGATAACTGACTTTGTTCATTGCCCAGTGGTTGCTCCAGCATGGCCAGGATGACAGAGTTGTCCAGGACAAAGTATCGGAAGTTCTTGTGGTTGGTGGAGGTCAGCCTGGAGTACTTGATCAGGGTGTCTTCGTTCAGCAGGCTGCAGGGGGAGGCGGGGCCGCTAGGCGACGGGAACGCCCCCAGGACTTGCATTATACTGACAGGGAGAGCAAAGAGAGGGTTTCCACTAGTTACCACTGCCACAAAGTATAAATGGGCCTTACCTTTAAAATGTATGAAAACAAAAATGTGCTTTTTGGTCTTAATTCAAGGGTTAGGCATAAGGTTAGCAGTGTGGTTAAAGTTAGGTTTAAAATCATATTAAGAAGAGAAACTGTAGAAATAGGCGGGGTTTATTACTCTTTGGCTGTGGTAACTAGTGACGACCCAAAGAGTGGGCATGAGGAGTGACTCCAGAGCTGCTGAGGGGAGGACGGCTCATAATAATGGCCGGAACGGAGCAAATGGAAAGACATCATACACATGGAAACCATGCGTTTGATTTATTCCGCTCCAGTCATTACCATGAGCCCATTATCCCCAATGAAGGAGCCACCAACCTCCTGTGCTCCAGAGGTACAGTGTATTGGAAAGATAGAAAGGATATATGAGGCAGGAATCCCCACTATAATACATTTCAAACACTGAATAGGATGTACACTATCTGTCCAAAGTTTTAGAACACCTAGTCATTCAAGGGTTTTTCTTTATTTTTACTATTTTCTACATTGTAGAATAATAGTGAAGACATCAAAACTCTGAAATAACACATTTGGAATCATGTAGTAACCAAAAAAGTGTTAAACAAATCAAAATATATTTTATATTTGAGATTCTTCAAAGTAGCCACCCTTTGCTTTGATGACAGCATTGCATACAGTATATACACAATACTGTACCATATTGGTCTCCCGAGTGGCGCAGCGGTCTAAGGCACTGCATCTCAGTGCTTGAGGCGTCACTACAGACCCCAGGCTGTATCACAACCGGCCGTGATTGGGAGTCCCATAGGGCGGCGCACAATTGGCCCAGCGTCGTCCGGGTTTGGCCAGTGTAGGCCGTCATTGTAAATAAGAATTTGTTCTTAACTGACTTGCCTAGTTAAATAAAGGTAAAAAAAAAAAAAAAAAAAAAAAAAAAAAAATTGGAGTAATGGGGAATATACCAGGGCAGTCAATGAATGTATTAAACTCAAATCATATTTAAAAACAATTGTCAATATCTTCAAACCATGAACTGAATTTTAATTCATTCCCTGAACCGAGAGACTGAAAAACAGCTTCTATCTCAAGTCATCAGACTGTTAAACAGCCATCACTAGCACAGAGAGGCTGCTGCCTACATGCAGGCTTGAAAATCACTGGCCACTTTAATAATGTTTACATATCTTGCATTACTCGTCTCATATGTCTATACTGTATTCTATACTATCGTAATAATGTTTACATATCTTGCATTACCCATCTCATATGTATATACTGTTTTCTATACTATCTATTGCATCTTAGCCTATGCCGCTTTGACAATGACATTGCTCATCCATATATATATATATATTCTTATTCCATTCCTTTACCTAGATTTGTGTGTATTAGATATTTGTTGTGGAACTGTTAGACATTACTTGCTAGATATTACTGCACTGTCAGAACTAGAAGCAGAAGCATTTCGCTACACTCGCAATAACATCTGCTAACCATGTGTATGTGACAAATACATTTTATTTTAATTTATTTGAAATGGAATTGGCTTAAACTCTCCACTGTGGATTGAATTGTGTGGAAGCGTTTTACCACCGTGTTGACCTCCACCTTTGCATTTGAATCCCTGATCACAGTCAATTTCAAGGACAAGTAAATATGTATGGACCTCAGAGATGCAAAGCTGACTGCATTATGAATAGCAGAATATGAAACGAAAGAACATCTTCCAAATAATTGATTCTCAGGAGAAAGGGCCTCGATCCTTCCCTTGCTGCTTTGTACCTTTTCATTAAGGTGCATCTTTCATATTTTATAGAGTGCATCAATTGTTAGTCTATTCCTAGAAAACATTGAACCGCTGTAGTTTACAACAATTAAAGTTTCTGAGGTGGAAGTTGGGAGAGTTCTATTTGGGTGTTTCAGTGAAACGTAAGTGAGGGAGGCCCCGCTCTCTCCTTTCCCAGATGTTTAGTTCATTTCATTCCGATCTCCTTTGCATTATTGTAGCCATTTTCTGTAGCCTGTCAACTATGCCTCTGTCTATCCCTGTTCTCTCCTCTCCGCACAGGCTATACAAACGCCTCACACTGCGTGGCTGCTGCCTCTCTAACCTGGTGGTCCCTGCACGCACCACCCACGTGGAGTTCCAGGTCTCAGGCAGCCTCTGGAACTGCCGTTCTGCTGCCAACAAGGCAGAGTTAATCTCAGCCTATGCTACCCTCCAGTCCCTCGACTTCTTGGCGCTGACGGAAACATTGATTATCACTGAAAACACCGCTACTCCTACTGCTCTCTCCTCGTCTGACCATGTGTTCTCGCATACCCCGAGAGCATCTGGTCAGCGGGGTGGTGGTACAGGAATCCTCATCTCTCCCAAGTGGACATTCTCTCTTTTTACCTTGACCCATCTGTCTATCTCCTCATTTGAATTCCATGCTGTCACAGTCACTAGCCCATTCAAGCTTAACATCCTTGTCATTTATCGCCCTCCAGGTTCCCTTGGAGAGTTCATCAATGAGCTTGACGCCTTGATAAGTTCCTTTCCTGAGGATGGCTCACCCCTCACAGTTCTGGGTGACTTCAACCTCCCTACGTCTACCTTTGACTCATTTCTCTCTGCCTCCTTCTTTCCACTCCTCTCCTCTTTTGACCTCACCCTCTCACCGTCCCCCCCTACTCACAAGGCAGGCAATACGCTTGACCTCATCTTTACTAGATGCTGTTCTTCTACTAATCTCACTGCAACTCCCCTCCATGTCTCCGACCACTACTTTGTATCCTTTTCTCTCTCGCTCTCCTCCAACACTACTCAATCTGCCCCTACTCAGATGGTAATGCGCCGTCGCAACATTCGCACTCTCTCTCCCACTACTCTCTCCTCTTCCATCCTATAATTTCTTCCCTCTGCTCAATCCTTCTCCCTCCAATCTCCTGATTCTGCCTCCTCAACCCTCCTCTCCTCCCTTTCTGCATCCTTTGACTCTCTATGTCCCCTATCCTCCCGGCCGGCTCGAACCTCCCCTCCTGCTCCGTGGCTTGATGAGCTCACAGAACAGGGCTCCGGGCAGCCGAGCGGAAATGGAGGAAAACTAGACTCCCTGCGGACCTGGTATCTTTTCACTCCCTCCTCTCTACATTTTCTTCATCTGTTTCTGCTGCTAAAGCCACTTTCTACCACTCTAAATTCCAAGCATCTGCCTTTAACCATAGGAAGCTCTTTGCCACCTTCTCCTCCCTGCTGAATCCTCCTCCCCCTCCTCCCTCTCTGTGGATGACTTCGTCAACCATTTTGAAAAGAAGGTTGACGACATCCGATCCTCGTTTGTTAAGTCAAATGACACTGCTGGTCCTGCTCACACTGCCCTACCCTATGCTTTGACTTCTTTCTCCCCTCTCTCTCCAGATAAAATCTTGCGACTTGTGACGGCCGGCCGCCCAACAACCTGCCCGCTTGACCCTATCCCCTCCTCTCTTCTCCAGACCATCTCCGGTGACCTTCTCCCTTACCTCACCTCGCTCATCAACTCATCCTTGACCGCTGGCTATGTCCCGTCAGTCTTCAAGAGAGCGAGAGTTGCACCCCTTCTCAAAAAAACAACACTCGATCCCTCTGATGTCAACAACTACAGACCAGTATCCCTTCTTTCTTTTCTCTCCAAAACTCTTGAGTGTGCCGTCTTTAGCCAACTCTCTTGCTATCTCTCTCAGAATGACCTTCTTGATCCAAACCAGTCAGGTTTCAAGACTGGTCATTCAACTGAGACTGCTCTTCTCTGTGTCACGGAGGCTCTCCGCACTGCTAAAGCTAACTCTCTCTCCTCTGCTCTTGTCCTTCTAGACCTGTCTGCTGCCTTTGATACTGTGAACCATCAGATCCTCCTCTCCACCCTCTCCAAGCTGGGGATCTCCGGCGCGGCTCACTCTTGGATTGCGTCCTACCTGACCGGTCGCTCCTACCAAGTGGCGTGGCGAGAATCTGTCTCCGCACCACGTGCTCTCACCACTGGTGTCCCCCAGGGCTCAGTTCTAGGCCCTCTCCTATTCTCGCTATACACCAAGTCACTTGGCTCTGTCATATCCTCACATGGCCTCTCCTATCATTGCTACGCAGACGACACATAACTAATCTTCTCCTTTCCCCCTTCTGATAACCAGGTGGCGAATCGCATCTCTGCATGTCTGGCAGACATATCAGTGTGGATGACGGATCACCACTTCAAGCTGAACCTCGGCAAGACGGAGCTGCTCTTCCTCTCGGGGAAGGACTGCCCGTTCCATGATCTCGCCATCACGGTTGACAACTCCGTTGTGTCCTCCTCCCAGAGTGCGAAGAGCCTTGGCGTGACCCTGGACAACACCCTGTCGTTCTCCGCTAACAACAAGGCGGTGACCCGATCCTGTAGGTTCATGCTCTACAACATTCGGAGAGTACGACCCTGCCTTACACAGGAAGCGGCACAGGTCCTAATCCAGGCACTTGTCATCTCCCGTCTGGATTACTGCAACTGGCTGTTGGCTGGGCTCCCTGTCTGTGCCATTAAACCCCTACAACTCATCCAGAATGCCGCAGCCCGTCTGGTGTTCAACCTTCCCAAGTTCTCTCACATCACCCCGCTCCTCCGCACACTCCACTGCCTTCCAGTTGAAGCTCGCATCTGCTACAAGACCATGGTGCTTGCCTACGGAGCTGTGAGGGGAACGGCACCTCAGTACCTTCAGGCTCTGATCAGTCCCTACACCCAAACGAGGGCATTGCGTTCATCCACCTCTGGCCTGCTGGTCCCCCTACCTCTGCGGAAGCACAGTTCCCGCTCAGCCCAGTCAAAACTGTTCGCTGCTCTGGCACCCCAATGGTGGAACAAGCTCCCTCACGACGCCAGGACAGCGGAGTCACTCACCACCTTCCGGAGACACTTGAAACTCCACCTCTTTAAGGAATACCTGGGATAGGATAAAGTAATCCTT